GGATTATGCAATGTGGTACCTGGAAGTGGTCGCTCTCCACAGCATTTCAGATAATAGTGTTTGCTGAAGCGCTCTTCCATGTTTTCTCCTGGGTATGATTCCCAAAAAAATCACAAGATGGATGACTTGGTCTGATTCTGTGTGGATTATATCAAGCTAATCAGTGTGTTGAAATGCTGTGCATATCCAATGCGTTGACCAGTTGCTCGACTGGTGGCTTGTTCGATTTTACTTTACATTGGATCTCACAAAAGGTAATTGCTAAATCCCCCTAACTTTATTCTTCAAAGAGGAAATCACCTTCACTATGCCCTTCGGATTTCATCAATTCATCTTGTGTCCATTTAGGTTGTTCAGAGGTTGATGGGCAAAATCCTCTTCCAGAAGTTTGCGTATGCCACATCATTATATATGAAAATGATTGGCAGCAACATCAACAATATCTATGGGCAGTGCTGATAAAATTGAGATTGGCCAGGTTTACGGCACATCCTTAGAAGTGTGCAATTGGGCAAATAGAAGTACTGTAGATTTATACTTCGGTCACAGGAAAGTGTGACCCCAAATTGATAAAACTGCTGTAATTGCAGCCTGCCCGTGACACAATACCAAAAAAGAAGCTGAGAGAGTTCCTTGGGCTGGTGGTTTATTACATGCGCCTTGTGGCCAATTATATGTTTCACGCTCCTAACCAGAGGTGGGAGTAAGTCACACATGTGCAAGTAACAAGCTAGTCTCAAGTCATAACCCTCAAGTCTCAAGCAAGTCAAGTCAATTTTTGTCAGACTCAACTCAAGTCAGGTCAAGTCAAGTCGTAGCTTGGTCTAGCAAGTGTATTTATTTGTATAACATTTGAAATGACATTTTCATCACTAGTGAATCAGATGGCTTTCCGCTCAGGGGAATGTGTGTGCTTACTTCAAAGCCATTAAAAAATTATACTTTTAATTAAATGAGACCCTAAATCACAAAACCAATCTTATAGTGCACAGGTACATTTTTTGGGGAAAAAAATATTGAATCAAAATGATAATTTTTTCTTTTATTACAAAAAATATTATTGTATTAAAAGTAAAGATCATCTTCCTCGAATACATTTTGTACATTTCAATAACAATAAAAAATGTTTTGATTAGTAATGTGAATTGCTAAGAATGAACTCTTAACGCAATGTTGAACTTTTAGATTCCAGATAATATATATAGCCCATTTCACACATACGTTACAGATCCATAGTCTGACATGATTTCGTGCTTTGCCTACGTTAATTCTTAATTTTTCCCCACATGGAAAGAACCTATATAAACATATATGTTTTAATATAGGTTTTGATATAGGTTTCTGATATATGTGAAATATATAAAATTGGCAATTGTCCTATATTATATGTACATATATGCACATATATGGGTACATCTATATTCACCTATATGTTAGTAAAGTTATTAAAATACAGCTGCTAGACAACATTATTAAAAATATATATATATTTGCTTGATCAAATAGTACAAGAAATAAATATATTCCAAGAACAATGCGGTATGGCGGGGGTTTGTAAGTTGCTAAATTTTTTTTTAAAGCACTCCAGTGTTTAGGTGTTCTGTATTTGACTGAGATAAATAATCTACTGAAATGTGTATATTCCATACAAGCTGAAGCTGATCAGTCAATTCTTGTCACATGACTCATGGTGCTCTCCTGGCATTTATTCAACTGTTTGTGTCTGGAAGGTGCGAGCATGTCTTGCCGCTTGCCTCCGCAAGCCATGCACCTCCATTGAAAAATAACAAACTTGCGCAAACTCTACAAAAAGACGCAATATGCGAACGGCTACCCCTAAAAGGCTGCCGCCATTTGCGATCTTCAGCAACTGATCTTCTTGCACAGACATGGTGGATCCATCTGATTTGTTGACAAATGGGTTGTGGATGTATTCCTTGGCAGTCTGCGGGGCCCTTCATTGGGCCTTTTTTCACTTAGCAAAGAAACTTTCCAAAGACTTCTGTTTCTTAATCATTTTGCTGCTTGTGGGTTAAATGTGGGCACTCAAGTAGATGTAAACGAATCCAGATGTAAGCTAAGAATAAGGTCATTTTTCTAAATAAAATATTTTTCAAAACAAAGATCATTCATAGATAATAAATAAAATGGAAATAATTAATAATTCCTTGTGTGGCCCAGTACTAGTTAATCCATGGACCAGTACCAGCCCGCGGTCCGGTGGTTGAGGACCACTGCTCTAGATTACTATACTATACTGTCTTTTAAAATTTAAAATTAAAGTAGTGGGATTTTTATGAGCTGGTTGTTTATACAGACCTTAAAAATGCATTAGGGATCAAATATGTAAATGGATTTTTTGCATAATAGGTTCACTTTAGGGTGAGGTTTTGTTAAACTGTTTACACATAAAAACATATAACAACATACAGTATATAAGGCTCGGGTAACACAAATGTCTAAATAGTCATTATATTGAACAAGAACAGTGAAGCAAGAATAGTGTCTCTTACCAACATTAACGTCTTCACATCTCCTGTTGAAGTTTTCATAAGAGTCCCAACGGATTAAGGGATCCTGTGTGTTGTAGTCCACAGAGACACTAGGTCCATTCTGTAGATGATCCAACCCTTAGAGTGACAAAAAGAGCTTCAGATTTGAGAAAAAGTATGCTGTTTACTTCTGACCTTACGCATTTGGTAAATGAAATTACCTTTGATTTTCTCAGGATCAAAAGAAAAGATAAACTCCACCTTCCCATATTCAGGAAATCTCTCATCTGCTAATTCACATATTTAGATTTTTTAAAGTTATGACTCATTATTAAAACATAAACAAAATTTAATTCTACCTTTATAGCAGAACTAAAAGACACTAACCTTTAAATGTGTCATCAAGGTCATTCTTGGTGAAGACCAGAGCTAAATTGTGTAATGCACATGTGTGGAACTGTACTCTGAAGATCACATCCCTACTGGGGTTTTGATATCGTTTGTGATAACATTTCAGCTTCAGATTTGAGCATATGAAAAAAAGAGGACAGAAAAGAAAATGTATAGGGTGGGTGGGTAGCACAGAAAGAAATAGCAGATTTTCTCTCATCTTTAACAGTATTTATAGTGTTAACAGGGTTGCTTTTGCAGTTCCTACCAGTATATCTCCTTTTAGTAGCAGACCAGGCTCAATGGTGATACAGATGCTTGTATGACTGTCACCTTTAACATTACTGTAAAACACCAAGGGGAAAAATGATGAATAGGGTTATTACACGCATGCTTCAAGCTGTCTCAATGCTGAATTCTTCAGACTAAGGCTAAATAAATGACTAGCATATTTAAATATTATCATCTACTGAACATGAACATGAAAATTTAACTAAAAGCTCTGCATATTAATGACATCAGTACCACGGTGGAGAAAGAAATCCAAATTACTTCTGTACAATATAGAAACGTAACAGCCAGGTAAATTAGTGATAATTTTACAGTAGATAAAAATACATTATATACAAATTTTAATTCAAAGGAAAGAATTATCAGGCAGTTTTCAAAACAAAGAAAGGTCTGAAATAGATTTGATGACATTGACCATATTCAAATAATTTATCAGAGAAACATCAATTTTAATTCCAAAGAATGTAAAATGCCATCAAATTTTTATTTTATAGTTAAAAAGCATTCCTTCAAGCATCTATAATTAACTTTGCAACTACATGTTAACAATCTTAACTGTTTATTTGTTATCTGTATTACATGTTAACTGTTTATTTGTATATTGTCTGCTTAATGGTGTATCAAGGCATTCTATTAAAGAGAAATTTTCAAGAACATGCCAGCTAAAAAAGTTGCTTTACAAAATATCTAAAGGGGACCATCAAAATAATGTATAACTTAAATGGTTATTAGTATGCTAGATATGTAGCCTTTAGTATTTCTGAAAAACTGAAATATATGTTTGCATCAGTCTCAGCTACAAATATGATCACAATCACATTTTACCTAACAACATAATTCAGCATAAACATTAGAGAATGCCATACTTACTAAATTCCAGATGTGTACACAGGCTGCATTGCTTGATAGATTTTGAGAAAGGGTCTGCAACCTAGCAAGGTTAGATATAATAAAACACATCAGTGGTTTTACGGTCACTTATACTAGCTTTATATGCAATGTTGTACATAATTTGCACTGATGAATTTAAATGGTTAGCAGCATGTGCACCCACCTCCTATAGACTCAAAATTCGGGATGCCATGCATGATGACATGGTGAAGGAACAAGGGTTTGTTATTGATCTTTATGTGACCAGAAAGGAGACCAGCGAAGTATTGCACATACCTACACAAACATACAAAGTTTCGCAAAAATTAAAAAAGCATGTTTTTTCAAAGTCCTTTTCAGTGATCACCATTGCCTTAATACTTGAACGTCTTTTGTAAAATACACATGGAATATCTGTGTATGAATTAAAAGCAAGTCATGAAGAACATGATCAGAGAGAATGCAAGTATGAACTGGATACAATTCTCTCAAATGTCAATTAAAGTGATAGAAAATGTACTCACTAATTACGCACTCTCAAGTAATTTTAAATCTTTCTGTGTATATTTCTTTTGTTGAACACAAAGAAAGACATTTTGAAGAAAGCTGAAACCCTGTAACCATTGACATGCGTGGTAGGAAAATACAAATAATATGTGAGCAGTGTTGGGGAGGTTACTTTGGAAATGTAATAAATTACAGGTTACAAATTACCCTATTTGAAAAGTAATAAGTAGAGTACCATATCAATTACTTTCTAAAAGTAAAGTAACTAATTACATCTGATTACTTTTTGATTACTATTAGAAAATGGATATTTTCAACTAAATAATTTTCAAGCATTTATACCAAGCAGGTTTGATCTTACAGTAGCACTCTGATTACTGTAAAATTTCTAAATCTTTTATCAATTGAATTAGGATTATATTAATTTAATTATAAAGTACAGCCATCACACAACCAGACCTTATATCAAAAAAAAAAAGAAAAAAAGAAAAAAATGGTTAACTGTTGTTACAAAAATAAAAAATTTATTTAGTTGTGCAGGGTGATTTTTGTGGCATTTGCATATACACATACACACACACACACACACACACACACACACACACACACACACACACACACACACACACACACACACACACACACACACACACACACACACACAAACACACACACACACACACACACACACACACACACACATCCAAGCTATTTTTCCAATTGTCATTTTTAAATCGAAGCAACTTAAATCCAAGTCAATGGTATCTTAGTGATTATTTTTTTCTGATCAAGTTTTACTGCAAATAATATGCTGTACCAAACAGAAACAAACTATAGTACATAACAGCAAAAAGTTACACTTTTAAGTATTAGTAATTTATAGTAAAGGAAAATAGAGAGAATTATGGGGGAGCACCTGTCAAAAAGTTTGATGGATTGTAGCCCCGCCCCCTAAGGCGGGACTTCCGGTCTAAGCCCCGCCCCTTTTATATAAACTTTATAGTTCCGGTAATTAGATTCTTATCGGTTTAATATAAAATAATAGTTCCGGTAATTAGATTCTTATCGGTTTAATATAAAATAATAATTCCGGTAATTAGATTTTTATCGGTTTAATATAAAATAATAATTCCGGTAATTAGATTTTTATCAGTCTAATTAAATTAATAGACTATTTCCAGGTAATGAAAATATTGGTAATTAAATTCTAATCAAACAGAAATAAAATTATTATTATAATAATAACGGTAATTAAATTACTGTTATTAGAACCATTATTTTATATTTTTAGTTATTTGACTAAATTATATTATTATATTACAATATATTATATTATATTAAGTTATATAAAATTAATATTTTATTAAATAAAATTATGTATTGTATTATAATATATTATATTAAGTTATATTAAATCATTATTTTATTAACTTATATTGTAATTATACCATATTATATAATATTATTATATTATATTATTATTATAATATTTATATTAGATATTAAATTAAATTATATTATATTATATATCATTATTATTCTATTCTATTCTATTCTATTATATTATATTATATTATATTATATTATAATTAATAAACTATTAACATAAACATTTCTTTATGTTCATACCGATGTTTCCTCTGTGTCTCAGTCTGGGCCTGAGCGTGTGAGTGAGTGATGATAAGGAAAACTTTGGATAACATCCCGTCAAGTGCTTGTGAAAGATATATTTATATCAGATGTAGAATATGTATATCTGATTGTATGTGTTGGGTGTCTCCCACTAACTACTATATGTTGTTAGGTGATTAGAAAGTGTACTGATATCTATATGTCCATGCAGTCAACTGTATGCATATGTATGTGTTTGTGTGTGCGTACGTGCGTGCGTGCATGTGTGCGCGCTTGAGCGAACTTTGGTCTGGCTTTGTATGCTTGAATCCAACGACACAGTATTTACTAAAAATACTCATTAATAGGTTATGTTGTTTTTGTTACATTATTACTACATTAATACATATTTAAAGACACACAAACTTTTTAATGTATCTTTGTCTGACTATTAAATTTAAATATGTTTACAATATTTCTTGTCGGCTTAGTCCCTTTATTAATCCGCGGTCGCCACAGCGGAATGAGCCGCCAACTTATCCAGCAAGTTTTTACGCAGCGGATCACCTTCCAGTCGCAACCCATCTCTGGGAAAATGTTTACAATATTAATCCAGTAAATAACAAATCTTAATCTGTATTAACAATAAATTGTCACACCTTTTAAAACAACGTTATCTAAAATGTAATGTTCTAAACTGTTGGTTGAAAACACAGATGTAAATTCAAGTTGTCTTTATAATTAATGAAAACTTTTATTATGAAAAACAATTTAAAATGAAAGTTTTTCCTTTGACTAACATGTTTTCAATTTATTTACATGCATGACCTGTAATTTATGGCACACATTGTAATACAGTTAATCCAAAGCCTAATGTTTTAAGCACTGGTCATCACTGGTGTTGGTTTAAAAAATCTACATAAAAATATTTACTAAAAAGGACTTATCAGTCTTTAGACATTATTGTTATTTCTGTTTCAAAAGATAAATAAAATGTAATTTTATTACAATAAATTGTAGTAATTGCATTACTAGACAACTTAGTTACTGAATTTTAAATTCAAACGTTTCAAATGTTTTTTATTCATTGCAAATACTTGATCATATAAAGAGAAATATGTATATTATTCAGAATAATGGAATATCACTGATATTTATTTTAAGAAGAAAAATTGGCTCTCAGTTTATCTAAAAACAGTACAGCTCCAGCCCTTAGTTAAATCTACTTAATGTTTTATAGTAAAATTTTCTAGTTTAACTACTGAATCCACCATTTACATGTTCATACAATAGTGTCAAATCTAGTAAGTTTACAAATTTGTCAAAATTAGTCAAGTTTACAAGTAGTTCTTGAAAGTAGACTGATTACTTTTTTACAGGGTAAATGATGCTTTTCTTATACCAATAGACTTAATCAAGATTATTGTCACTACACACAATTTGTTGGGAGTGTTTATGTTTCTTTAAACAATGTTTTTTTATTGGCAAACACATTTTTAAATTATCAATCTAAAATCTACCTGAATGTTTTCCACTCACTTGGAAAAGTGATGTTTAAAACACTATTCATTAAACTTACTGCATGACTGGAGCTTTATTTTTACAAACCAATAGCATTGACCTAATTCAAGCTTTTGGTTCCCCTTCGGTTGGGGAACTTCAGTGCCATGAATGGGAGGATTCGGATCAGAAGCCGCTTATCTGGAGAGTATTGAACGGGCCAATGAATGAAATTAATTGGCAGCGTAAGCTTGCGCAGGTGTGCGACATCTGCAATTATCTCAGCATATAAGCACACCTGAAGCCAGCAGACGCCATCCTTTTCGCTTCAGATCCTTTCTGAGTGAGTCGATGAGGGTTCCTCTTGCTGATCAGCACTTCAGAGCGAACGAGTGTGTCTCCCGGTCCAGAGTGGGTCTTCGCGGTGGCAGACGGTCGAGCTGGGTTACTCCCTTGCCTGCGGTTCTTTGGGTCCGGTCCTCCAGAGCGGTGCGTATAGTTGCAACTTTCCTAAAAGAGCAACACAGTCGTGCAGCACGTCCTTTTCAGGATGGCGCTCCGACTGTGCGTTTCTGGATGCGGGGGTTTCCTGTCTCCGGATGATGGACACGATCACTGCATTGCATGTTTGGGGGTCCAGCATGTTAATGCGGTGCTCGCGGGCGGTTCATGTCGTCATTGCGATGCCATGACCGTTGCACAGCTAAGATCGCGGCTAACTTTCGCAAGAGAGCGAGCCACCCCAGTTGCCTCCTGCTCTAAAAAAGCAGCGGGCGCTCGGGCAGATCTGAGGGTTTCAGCGGGAGCTAATCCGCCGCCCACGGGCTCGCGGACCTCTCGCTCCTCACGGCGCTCCATCCAAGCTTCGGGTGGTGAGAGTGATCCGTCTAACCAGATGGTAGCTCTCACACTCGCTGACACCGGAGATCAGATGTCCTCCGCGGCATCGGAGGGTGGGCTTTCACTGTCCGACGAAGATCCGGACCCGCTCGCCCCCTCCGGGCAGGTGAGCGCTGTCAAATCGGATCCTGAAGCGGACATGTTAGCCGTGCTTTCCCGGGCTGCTTCGGCCGTGGGGTTGGAGATGGTTTATCCCCCAGCTCCGCGGCCGGACCGACTAGATGGGTGCTACGTAGAGGACCAGAAGGCGAAGCCTTCGAAGCCTCTCGTCCCCTTCTTCCCGGAAGTGCACAGTAGGCTCACGCAGTCCTGGAGGGCACCTTTCTCTGCCCGTGCTGCGAGTGCCTCCGCCCTCACCGCCCTTGACGGCGGAGCTGCCAGGGGGTATGAGGCGATCCCGTCAGTGGAGCGCGCTATCGCGGTCAATCTTTGTCCGCGCGGCGCCTCTACGTGGCGGGGTTTGCCCCGCCTCCCGTCCAAAGCCTGTAGGTTGTCTGCCTCCCTCGGAGCCAGAGCTTATAAGGCTGCGGGCCAGGCTGCTTCTGCTTTGCACGCGATGGCCACCTACCAGCGCTACCAAGCGCAGGCGCTGGCCGAGCTGCACGAGGGCGGGTCCAACCCAAGCTTATTACATGAGCTGCGCACCACGACCGACTATGCTCTTCGGACTACTAAGTCCGCCGCGTGTGCGCTGGGGAGGACGATGTCCACACTTGTGGTTCAGGAACGCCACCTCTGGCTAAACCTGGCCGATATGCGCGACGTTGACAAAGTTCGCT